GGGGGGTGTTGGTGGGGGGTGTGGGGGGGGGGGGGGGGGGGGAGGGGGGGGGGGAGGGTGGGGGGGGGGGGGGGGGGGGGGGGTGGGGGGGGGGGGGGGGGTGTGGTGGGGGGGGGGGGGGGGGGGGGGGGGGGGGCAGCACTAATATTAACTCTCTTCTCCTTCTAAAATCGTTTATTGTATTGCGTCCGCTCTCTCTGTTTGTGTTTAGCACATAATGATTAATAATACATTATTCTAAAACCTATTACGCATTTATCAGGTGATTATGTAAGTGCAGTTATCAAAAACAGTTTATTTATAAATTACAATACCAAAATGTAAAAGAAAAGATTGACAAACTTTTTAAAAAAAGTCATTCTAATCGTGAGTATTCACCTGAGGAAAAGCGTTCGCAGAAAATACGACCCAACATCAAACACAACGCTTCCGGATTCGTTTTTGCGTAACCGGGTTAGTTATTGCGAAAACAGTTGGTTTCAATGTCCTGCAATTTGATCGGGGAGAGGAGGAAACCCGAAACATGATTAGTATTATAAAACATAGGCAACGGTTATTGCGAATGTTTATACATTTATATACAAAATCTATCTCTACATACTTTCGATAATCTGCTTCCTCATCTAATAAATTACTCCCTTCGTTCAATCCTCGCACAGAATGTATCATATTCTAACCACGCTCTTAACAAACTTCATAATATCCTCATTATCACTCCTCCACCAATCCAGAATGTCTGGTTCTATTTTCACAGCACACTCAAAGTCATTTGCAGCATCAGTATACCGTCCAATAGCATAATAGACCTGAGCTCTACTCAAATAAACACTCGCACGATCGCCTTCCAAGAGAATACACTTGTTTAAATCCTTTAATGCACTCTCATAAAAGCCCGCCACTCGAGACGTATCACCTCGAGCGTGGAGAGCAAAAGTGTTATCAGGTTGTCGATCGAGCACACGTGTAAAGTCATATAGAGCCTCGTTATAGCGTTCGAGCATGAATTCTAGTTTACCCCGAATACAGCGAGCGGGGTTGTGATCGATCTCGACATAGAGGAATGTGCCTATATCACGAATAGCATCAACTATGCGATCAAGGCTTACGTAAACTTCTGCCCGTAATTGAAGACTGCGTGGATCACGCGGCCGTTGTTTTAGTGCCTTGTCTAAATAGATTAATGCTTCCTTTGGTTTGTCCAATATCTTACTGAGCTTTCCTCTAGTAGCCAATGTACTAACACTTGTGGGACGTAATTTTAATGCATTAGCGAGATCTTTCAGTGCATCATCGTATCTCTTCTCAGCCATATGAATCTCGCTTCTAACACGTAGGATAGAACAACTGTTCGGATTTAACTCTGCCGCTCTGTTAGCATTCTCCATTGCTTCGTTATATCTCTTCATCTTTCGCAGGACATCAGCCTTTTCCCTGAGTGTGTACGAATCAGTAGATGATAGGCGTAATGCTTTGTTGAGCGTTGTGAGCGCCAATGGATAGTTCTTCAGTTCACAATATATTTCGCTCAGACGCCGTAGTCCCCATGCATTGTCCGATTTGAGAGAGAGAGATTTTTGGTAATCAGCGATAGCCTTATCGTTCAATCGCAGTAGGTTGTGCACGAGTGCTCTTTGCTCCCATATGCCGGGATCTTTTGGATCTAATTGAAGAGCAGCATTCAAGTCGGCTAATGCGTTTGTATATCTCTTCTGCTTTCGACGTATCTTTCCTCTATCACATAGCGCATCTGCATGATATGGATCCATTTCGAGTACTTTATTAACATCCGATAGGGCAGTCGCGTAATCACGTATCCAATAGTTAATCTTTCCTCGTAACCTATATGCATATAATCTATTTGGTCGGTATTTGAGCACTCTGTTAATCTCTTCTAGTGCATCTCGGTCTTCATCTAACATATACAAGACTTCGGCTCTTAGTTCTAATGCACCAATACTGTGCGGTTTCAATTCGAGCGCCTTGTTGTAAAAGTCGAGTGCTTCTTTATACATGTCTAATTTCCTGTACGCTTCTCCGCAGTATCTGTAGGTTGATGAGATGAATGGATGAACGTCGGTAGACATGTTGAAACCAGCGGACGCGTGCTTGTTGCCGATGCGACGCTGAATAAGATCGATCATAGCCGATATGCGAGAAAATCGTAAGAGTGGAAACAGTTTATTTATAACGGGTGAGAGCAGTCTCTCATATTGGGTATTACATAGTTTATAGTAGGTCAATTGCAAGTTTGAATAATCTTCTGTTATCCTGAATATAAGGGATTGATAGTAGAGGGCGAAAATGTTGTTGGATTCCGTATTGAGTGCCGAAGAGAAGTCAACATGGGCCTTGGGGATGTCGTTTAGAGTGAAATATATTAACCCTCTAATGCAATGTGCAGGTGTCCGATGAGGACGTTTATTGATAGCTATGCCTGCTTTATGCAGTGCACGATCATAATCTGCAAGAAGACAGTAAATCATTGACTCGATGCATAATATAGAATATGTCGCTCTGTACAAAGTTGACGCGGTCGTAATCCATCGGAGTGCATTGAGATAGTCTCTTTGTCTCATGAAGTGAAGCGATTGTCGATAAGCGACCAAGTGAAGAGGGGTGGAAGCAGTATTAGTGATTGAGACTGTTGCTGATGTGTTGGCGATGGAAGAGACAGTTGATGTCGTTGTGACTTCATTAGTCGTTGTTTTCAGGATCAAAGGCATGTTTAAAATTTTTTGTAGCTAGCTTAAGGGGACTATTGTCCTTAACAACGCATGCGCAGTAGTCAATGAGAATGTCATATTATTTATGTTACATCATGTGGCGTAGTGAGGCACGGAGTGAAACGATCACTGTCCGAAAGTAAACTAATTATGTATTGACTGGATTACCAAATTTAGGTGAAACTTTCGCCGTTTTCACCAATTTTGGTGACTGCATAACGGAGGGTTTCCTAACTCGACCCCAAATTCACGGGATAGGCAAATAGTTCCGTTGGCTTTTTTAGTTATTGTTATAGATCCGCAATCTTATCGCCGTCAAAAACTGAGACGATAAAGGGTGTGATAACTAGATTCGTGTTGTTACATGCATTTGTTCAGCTACAACAATTACCCAGTTCTTGGTGAAAGCTACCACCAGTCTCAGCTTCGAATCAATAAAGGCCCGTATCGAACTTTCCGTTTACGTTATGTCATGAGGAAATACTTTAAGCGGGTGATGGTATTCTAAATGGCGCTCTTTAATTTATGCAACTATGGATAAACTGATTTAGAGAGATGAATTATAAAAAATAGGAGACAGTAATGACTACAGACAGAGTTGACCGTATTGTCCCATGCTAACAAAGAATCTTTCCGAGGATTTAGTTAATACAGCCCTCATATTAACAATCTTCGTCTGTGAATAATATAATTACTTTACTCGACGTTTCTGATCGCCGTGTGGCATGACGATTATCAGTTCTATTTCGACTTGTGTACCAATAAGTAAAGTAATTAATATTCTGCACATCTGGATTCCTAATTGAGCGAAAATGAAGTGTCGACTATAGAAATGAAGTGTCATGTATTGCTTCAGAAACACATCATTTAGGAAACGATGTCTAATTCCTTATTATATTGTACGTTTCATGTATTAATAATAATGTTGTTTATCATCATCATCATCATTACTATCAGGAAAATGCAAAATAAAGAATTACTAGCAAATAAGCTCTCCTCTTTTCATTACTTGTTAGTAATCTATTAATGCGCAACAAATTGTCCATTTGAGCGTCTTATTTCATGCACGCTGAAGATCTGGCCTTTTTCTTAATTAGTTATTAAGGTGGTTGTAGTGTCATTATCTAATGGCTTAACGCTTGATGTAACGGTGAAATCTGGGTCTCAAATTACTTACAACAATTTGCAAGTTGGGCGAGGAAAGTGTAATGCTGATTTTTAAGTGGTAATGTTATTACGTACGGCAAAGTCAAATTACATTTTAATATTAACGATTAAGAGTGTTTAGATTTGAGTATTTTTATCAAGTTGTTTAATGTTGGATGGTCTTTTTACAATGATGGAGACATAAAATTCACTTTCTCATTTATACTATTTTTACAGGTAGATAATTAATTTCCCTGAACATTGACGCGAAATTATGTACGATAAATTTATTCGTACATTCCGTTTTAATATTGTTTCGTTGTTGTAAATAGTCTCTGAAATTATAATAATGTTTTAATTCTAGAACGTAGTTAGTCAAACAATGAGAATAGTATATAACGGCTGCAGCGCTAGCTAACAGCATCAGTAAACCGTCTATCGATTAAGTGTCATATATCAGATTATTGTAGTATACTAGATTATTGATATAATATACAATTCTTTAGTTCAATTTTCCATCGCCTTAGAAACCATAGACTGGAGAATTCGATCGTTTATTTGATGTAAACATTACCCGCTCGTAGTACAAATTGTCCAATTAATCCTATCAATAGAGGTAGAGACAGTCACTACAGGAATCTTAACGTAAGAGTCGTGAGGAATCTGGTTTATGTCATCGACAGTACATTTCGTCGACAATTATTTCACCGAAATACGTTTTGCCGACAATTCACATAAATTATTTACAGACAGCAAACTTGAGCTTCTGTATTGCCAATTTTTGCCTTAACAACTATTATTATACCAGAAATTGTAAAGTTAATGTAGAATTTATGAAGTTAATACCATCTAGCTGTTTCTGACGTATTGAAGAAAAAGCGCGATTGAATTACCAATATTATATCGATTAATGTCAACGAAGTTGCATTCCAAATAAGGATGTCAATGGAATATGAGCATGCATTGTGTACGGGGAAAAATAGCGTTTCGAATTGAACGTATTTTGTAAATAAACGAGAGTGCAAGTTTGATAACAAATAAAACTTGTCATACAAAAATAAATATCAGCTACCTAACTTTATTCAGACGAAAAGAGCAGAACTAGAAAGATTACAGGTGGTCCACGGGCGGACGATGACACCGCTTTGATTCACGACATTTAATTTTAACCAAGGAATAATGATTGCGCTAGGAATGGGCAAGTCAATGTAACCCGCACGCATTCCGTGTAAGTATTGGAGCAAAGACTTGATGCACTGATTAATTGTTTTAATCAACAAGCAAGAGAATATTAAGTAACGGAAGGCAACATGAACGACTCCCGACGTCTACTCACTTGAAGCATCGAGTGTGCTTCTATTTATGGCACTTGAGCAGTCACTAATTTCCTTTTCTCCGTATGCAGGACTCTTTTACAGCGTCAACTCTTGGTGTTTGAATCTATGTAAAGAAGAAGAGAATTAGCAAAAGACAGACAATTAGCCAAGATAATCATGTCTGAGGAATTGATCTTTATAAGAGGAATGTTCTTGATACATCAAAGCCAGAGCTGGAGGCAAGGGATCTGATTGACGTAAGTGACGCCACTGAGGTTCCTGTCTCTTCTCCTGGCACCAACACCTCGGTACACAACTTCACGCGGTCCTCAGATCTTTCTCGTCTTTCTCGAGCTTATCCAGCCGTGCATGGTCCTTTTCAATCGTACGCCTCTCCCCTCAATAGTACTTGTTTTCCGAAACGTTGTCAACGTACTCCAGTTGTTGCTGATAATATGTGAGCGTATCCATAATAGGGCGACGAAAAAATTTTTCCTGGACCATTTTAATTTTAATTTCGATTTGCATTGTGGTGTGATGATCTACATACTAAATCAAATATGTATAACAAGCTCTTTTTTTACAAGAGGCACATTAATATGCTGTACATTGATAAAAACAACATTGTCACCCAAATTGATATAATAAAGCTATAAACACTATCTAGTTGAAACCATCTCCAAACGTGACTGTGTGAAGTGACACGCAAAAATTGATAAAAACGGACCTTCCGTGAAAATGAAAAGTTGCGCCATCGTCACGTCTGGCGCCCAGTTATGGAAGGGAACTCAGAGTATTGGCTAGTGCTGATAGGAATGGGATGGGCAAATGGGGAGACGTCCATAGCGATGAGGTATTTGGATGTAATCTTATGTATGTCGAATGCTCCCGCTTAATTTGTAGCCCACAAAAAAAGATTTATGACGAGATAAAGCTATGGCGTGAGACTAATGACAATTATATTGGACGCAAAAAACTCTTAATCCGGATAAAGATTAATTCGGAATAGTTGGGGTGCAAAGAGCAGGTGATGCCTTACATCTGGAATGTTCTTGTCAGGGATAAAGTCAATATTATCATATTCAATCAGCTAAAATTCCTGTGCGAATATCAGATGAAGATGTAGTAACTAACTTTGTGGAAACCCTTTTGCTTTTACGTAATATGATTAATACTAACTTATCTTTACTACATTACGCACCTATTGCTACTACAGTTTCCACCCCACGAGACGATAACTAGACTTCGTTATATGTACTTTTTTTCTATCTCGTATTTTTTATATTTATCTCAATAAGATGGCCCTGGAGGTCGATTTTTCATTATTTATAGGATATATGATCAAGTGACGATTCGTACATCCTTATATAGTCACATACGCAAAAGTTTCGTTTTTTGAGTTCCGTTTTTGATAGATCTGCAAGCACCCCAAATTTTGGTTTCGTTTTTGATACATCTGCGGCAAAGTCACGTTTTCGACAATCCCCAGAGCAAACTATTCGATGTACGTCACATGAAGTCGTCGGGCTGGACAACAATTTTATCTACCGCAAAATCAAAGGGAAAAATTCAATCTAATTCTAAACAAGGGCGAACTTCGATTTAGTGTTTCGACTAGTCGGGAAATGTCATTTATCTAATTATAACAAGAATTGTCGTTCGAGATACTCTTGCTTTACCGCAACTACGGGTCGTTACCGATCCATTGCGCTGACAACTAACGTTTGAATACAGCTACGGATCGTTACCGATCTACTGCCGATAGTTAAGACAAAAAGCTTAGTTTTCACGACGATAGAAATAGAAATAATAAAAAGTAAAAAGTTTCGTAATAATTAAAGGATAAAGATCAGATCGATCGTTCGAACACCTCAGTATCGAATATTAGTTATTTCATAACATCAACAATTTCAACATGAGGATTTTTGATGGTCGGGACGGCTCCTTATATACATTTTGCTGTTACTAGAATTGTGTTACTTTTTTTACGCCACAGAGCGTGCATTTTCTATATTTCCCACGCCGTCACCAAAATCGCGTTACTCGCGTTATTTTCTATTCTTAATTAATTGATCGTCAGGGGTGTTGTTTAGAGGATTTTACCATGTGACTTGCTTATCGACGTCAGCCGATCAGCTCGCCGTAACAATTGAATAGGTTCAATCAAGATTATCAAGAAACAATAGATTTGCAATAGGTTTATTTGTTTTTAACTTATAAAGTTTGAAAGTCATGTGACATTAGTGCGGTTTTATAGATGATAGCCACCATAGTCCCTCCTTTTGTTTTCTACCCAAGTGCTACATTTCAGATTGGTTACTTTCATTTAGTTTTCTCTTTGCCTCGAAAAGGTTTTTAAATCAGTTAGCATTCATTAATAGAATTTCATCTCATCTCAACTGAAGCAGAAGCAGAAGCAGAAGCTTTGCATGGCGATCAGGCTGCCTATTTATTATTTTCTATCACACTCGCTATATTGCTGTCATACATACGCAACAGACTAAGCTTTTTCCCACACCTGACCTCATTGTTTACACA